AGAAGAAGAAGAAGAAGAAGAAGAAGAAGAAGAAGAAGAAGAAGAAGAAGAAGAAGAAGAAGAAGAAGAAGAAGAAGAAGAAGAAGAAAAATAACTAGAGCTGTGCCGATCGATGAAGGGGCAAACATTCAGGAATAGTAAAACATGCAAAGCAAGAAGGGAAGGTGTCGTGTGACCATCAACGTACGCGGTACTCTGTAAAAGGACACCAGTATGCATGTATACAGAAACACTCCATATCGTAAAGGACTTTATTGTCGGGGTGCTGATGTCAGCGAGAAATTCAAATTACTTTTGATGAGCATTTTGTTTTTCATTTTATTTAGGAAATTGCAAAAAAAATAATAAACCCTTCCCCCAAAAAAATAATTTTTAAAGAAAAAAAAAAAGAAGAAAAGTAACAAAAAGGGGATGGGACGGGGTTAGAATTGGAACGCGTAAGCAAAATTCTGTCGTAGAGTTTTGTATACATTTTTTGTTCCCCGAGAAAAAAGTCATGAGTTCCCTTTTAAGTATTTTTTTCCCGGCTATCCAACATGATGGGGGGACGGAAAATTGTGCAGGTCTTACCCTGTTATGTAACGGATTACTCAATCCGCCGCCGTCCTATGGATGGTAAAGAAGGCCTGTATGGCATTGGAAGTAAACTTACTCTTTTTAAACGGTTAACAATCAGTTTTGCATTATAATACACATTTTGAAATGGTTAGAATTCTTTTACCATGAGCTGTCATTACGTTGTGGAGGTAAAATGCATTTTATTTTCGTTTCTATGCTCCACTTTACTTTTTAAACTTTGTTTTTCCGCACTTTTCATATTCGTTGACAAGTTTCCTATTGTTGACATGGCAACAGATGCTGCGAGGGACACCACCTGTCAGTCTAAAGCCACCATTCATCCATCAAGAGGACTGTCGTCAGGGAAATATTAGTCTGTGTGTTTACTGACGCCCACATAATCCTAGGTCAGCGACACCGCAATACACTCCTAGTGCGGTGGAGTAGGGTTGGACGGGAAAAGGAGGTTGGGGGGG